TTTCGTTAGCAGTTGTCAGTTGAAATTTGCAGCGCCGGCTTTTGGACTAATAATAGTGATCAGTTTTAATTTCTTGGCCGATTGGCTAAGTCTACAACACTAAACATCGAACATTTTGAACAACTAAACATCAAAGATCTAACAATATAAACTGCTCGACAAATTACGTCGTTTTTTTTGGTGGTCCAATGTAATGTAAGTTATGACGTCACCAAGATTTACGGTTCATTCAAATTTCTAAATCAACGGTTCAAACCACAATTACGAGTGGAGAGGTGGGAAAACGTCGAGGTTTGAGGTTATAATATGATTGTTTTTTTAGCTTTGACTGTTTCAACTTTGCCAAGCGTCATCAGTTGCACTAGGCCAGCTGACAAAGGATTTAAGGGTACTACTATAAATGGAGTCAATCAAATGTTCCGAAGGGTAGGAGGACGATCTAGTCATAAGAGCCATCTAGTGGCAAAAGTGCAAAGGTGTATAAGTAGATTGTTCAAACATCCATAGTTGCGAGTAAGTTGAATATAGAACCCTACGTTCATATTATTACAGAAAGGCAAATCTGCCAAAATTCTGCAGACTATCGCAACACCTGGAATCCTCACAGTCCGACAGATGGTGAGGAACCTGAAATCTCAAGACTAATTTCGAGATATATACGATACGATATTTTCCTTGCCTTTGCCTTTCTGTAATAATATGGACTCAGAGGTCTATATTCAACGTACTCGCAAGGTATGGTTGTTTAAACAATCTACTAACTACTACTAACCACTACATGGCTCTTGGGACTAGATCGTCCTCCTACCCTTCAGGGCATTTGAACTTCTCACATATAATCCTTAATTAAAATTATAGTTTTCAGGTTATGTATAAGCAACAATTGATTTTGTCAGCTATCATTTCAAAATGGCCTGTTTTCTTGAATGAGATTAATTAATACGTAACGCTTGAATACGGTTCAAAATAATAATAATCGTTCGAGAATGAGCTCATAAAGTTTGTGAATTCAGATTACAGGGTGATACATAGACCCATTACAAAAATTATTATTTTCGAAGTTATCGCAATCATAATTATGAAAATATGACGTTTTTTTGAAATGTCCTCAATTTCAGCTAATCTGTTCATAAAATGAGAGAATTTATTCATGAAATCGATACAGGCAGGAGGTAATCACTTCAATTCCTTTGATATTTAGCAAATATCGATCTACAGGGTGATTGTAATTTGAACTTTGAATACTCTATATTAAAGTAAAATTTTATATCATTCCTAATATTATTTTTGATCTTCTGATGACATGTTAACACGATATTTTTTCCTACTTTTGTACGCTCATATAGATAAAAAAACAGAATCAGTTCAGATTTTTTATCTATTGTCCCCGAGAATATATGAAATGCAAAAGAATCTCATCATTTAAGAGTTAAGAATTATTCACGTTCGCATAAAATAATTAAAATTCCGTTCATGGACAAATTTTACTGAGAGGCGCTTCAAGAAAATGTGAAATATGGTGGTCAAAAAGCCGGTAAAACAATTTTACTATTACATAGGTATAGAAAATACACTTATCAAATACAGTGAGTAATTCAACTAGAATATAGCAGTAGAAAAATTCTTCTTTGAACATGATATAAGTGGTAACAAAACAGGTGGCACCTATGTCGCAATCAAAAACCTCATAATACGAAGTATGTCGACTTCACACCAAATTAAATGATTAGACTTGAAAAATATAGTGATAAAATTCAATATGAACAAATAATGAAATTTCGCTCATTTATAAAAATCGACAGTTGCTATCAGTAAACAAACAGAAGAATTTTTATTTTCCTTAATCCATATCTATTTCTAGGATCTTACTTTCAATATGTACATTACATAACAAGCCCAAAAGCATGTAAACAGTGATAAAAAAAACATATTTTGAACGAGCTATGGAGCAGTGAATATGATGAGGTTCAGATTATATGTTGTGCTTCGAGTTTCTTGCATTTTATTATGATACACTAAAAATTACTTACTAATTGAACACCCAGTGTAACCAGAACTAATACATTTCAATTCCCCTAAATATAATTTATTTTCAAAATTACAGGGTGGTCCAGTAAAAATTAACCCCCTCTAACTTTCTTGTTCATAAGATATTTGTATCAATCTTCAGTTCACAGTGTGCTCATAAAAAAACTGGACGAATGAAATCAGAGACTAAACAAAATATTTTTCAATGCAAAATCCTTTATATTCTAAAGATTGTAAAAAATACAATTTCACTTCCAGATGTAGGAAGAAATTTCCGGCATACCTGGTGTCAACGAATCTATTAGACAATTAGCCATAACATCTAGAATATTCGGTGTAACAAGATGGAATTTGATATGGGTATATGGTATGTGAAGAGGAATGTTTTCGCATATTTTTCATGGTTCTGGTTTTGAATTTTCAAGTGGAACACCCTGTATATTATAATATTTTAGGATTCCTGAGACAGAATATGACATTTTTAGAAGATTTTACGCCTACTTATTTTTTTTTGGGTAATTTATAATATTGCATCTAGCTAGGTCAAGGGGTGGTTCCCTCGCCCAAAAAACGTACAAAAAGATTGCATTTGCTAATATGGGACGGAATTGGACAGGATTGGACATAATTTGACAACATTGGATAATAATGGACATAGTTGATAGAGATTGGACAATATTGGCCGGGATTGGACCAGATTGGACCGGATTGGACGGACTGCTTGATATTGGACTGTTTTGCCGCTACTTCCAGTCGTCGAACTGCCCACGAAATGACACAGGCACCTAGGTACCTAAACTAACTGTCTGGATTGGACAGAATGGACCAAGACTGAACGAAATGGACCAAGATTTTTTTTTTCATGTTCTGGTTCTCACGAAAAGGGATATCCTGTAATGTTCAGAGAACATCGTGAGAACCAAGGAAAATGAGGTTAGGAATTAGTAGGAATTAGGAGAGGGATGTTCTGCAGGTCTCCAAAGTGATCACGAAGGGGTGCGAAGCCTCAACTCGACGGGTTATTCTCGCGGGGACTGCCAAGGGAGGAACAATTGTTGATATTTCAGAAGAGCATTGTCCATGGAAATATCTAAAAAATAGAGCCAGATCGCCAACTTTTCTACGGTGTTCCAGAGAAGTGAGTGAGTTTGTGAGCGAGACATCACCCACGAGACGAATTGTCCTTTTTTGGACAGAATCCAACAGTTTCAGGGTATGTTTGGGTGCTGAACTCCAAATATGGGAACAGTATTCCAGGACAGGTCGGATCTGTGCCTTATAGATCATAAGCAGCTGACTGGAAGTGAAATAGCTCTTGGCCCGAAACAGAAATCCAAGTTTTAGGGATGCACTTTCAGCAATTGATCTCAGGTGATTTTCCCAAGAAAGGTTATTGCTGATAGTAATACCTAGCATCGAAATGGATGTCTTCAAAGGTATGGTTACTCCTGACAAGCTTATGTTGGGCACAGTGAGATCGGCTTTACTATAGAGAAAAGGCATGCTTATGTTTTGTTTGCATTGAAATCTACCAAGTTATTGAATCCCCATTCGAGAATTGTTGCCAATTCCATATTTATGTTGTCAACATTTCTTCCTCGTTTGTTTCTGATTTGCTTGGCTGGTATTGGAGCCCTGGAAGAGAAGGATTGGACGGAATGGACTAGGATTGGTCATATTGTGATGAGATTGGATGGATTGCATCGGGATGAGATGGACCAAGATTGGACATATTGGCTCACTAATTGACGGATTGGACTCAGAATGGACGGATATTGAACGTATAGGACTAGGATTGGTCATATTTGTTTGAGATTGGTCATATTGGTCAAGATTAGACGGATTACATCGGGATTGGACGCAGAGTGTACACATATTGGACCTAGTGGATGACCCCTCGAGCTAGGTATAGTCATGATATGACGTAAACTTATCTCAGGAAAATTATAATTGTAAGGTTTTAGCATATATCTAAATACACATTTAGATCTTTGGTTTCAGTGACTAGTATGATAGATAGAAAGAAGACAAATTGACAAAATTACATTTTCGTGTCTTGACTATTATTTTTCAACTGACAATGTTTTTTCTGATTTTGATGAAAAATTCCACTCGAACAGAAATAATGACCAGTTCTACCGATGATGTATAAATTTAAGAAGGCGAGTTGACTTCTCCCGTCACTTTGAAGTATTCGTCAAAGAATAATCAATCACAAATCAGCGACAAACTTCACGAAATAGACACAATTGATATCTTTATGAGTGGAAAATAGCTAATTCAAGGCCAGATTTCCCAAGTGATATCGAGGAAGCAATACAAAATGCACAATTCTCTTGGTCAATCCATTTATTACGTAACTGGTGTTGAAATGAACATTTCATCACCAGTTACGTAATAATTTACTTTACGCAACTAGTTACGTGGAGTAAGACGTTTAAAAACTTCCGTCAGTTTTTGAAAGTGTAAAATTACATGTCAAAATAAGAACATCTCATGTTGCCATATGACTTATTCAAATGAGGTCACGAAAAAAAAAACGAAATTGCAGATATTCGATTTTTTCAAATATCTTCTGAAGTATTCAGAATTTTCAAACTTTTGATGTAACATGTATGCCCCAATTCAACCTACTCTGTATTTGTTATGGTTACTGAGATCCCAATGTTACCACTCGAAATTGGGACACCCTGTACATAGTTGATTATACTTATTTCATATTCTCTCTCACTTATTGCTTGAAAACTCAATGTATTATTGCTTTCATTTTGTTAGATGATGTTTTCTTCATTACACTCTGAGGATGAAAAAAGTCCCACCAAGTGGATTTCAAAAGTTATATTGGATATTTATGGTACATAAATTGTTTCAATATCAACCATTTTCACTGCTCCTCAACTTTCAGATAGTTTTCTTTTTTGAGCGCTATTTACTACAACAAAATATAAAAGAAAAAAATAAATACTACTTACGATAAGATCTTTCTGCTGTATATTCCCCAAAATGACAACATGCAAAGAAAATCGAAATGAGAAAACGACAATCACCAAATAGATGTACATACACCGAATCATAGAATGAGATTATTGTGCAATAGTGATAAATGGACCCCTTAGCATTTTTCAATAAATCAGGAATTAATAGAAAAACATCAGGTTACTTCTAGCATGAAATATTGACAATTTTTTTTCATATCTAATGCAAATATCTGATTTATATTGAATGTTGACATAGTGATCTCAATCTCTCAATCTCATTTAGAAGGGCAAATATTTTGCTTTGATCAGGGCATAATATTTTGCTCTGATCAGAGCACAAAATCAAATCGAAGACTATTCAGGAGACATAAACTGATGATGAATACTTGATTGTCCAAAACATGTTTCCTGGTTATCAAACGTTATGGGGACGATCTAATGTTTTATGATCCTATCATAGTAATCGTAATAGTAAACTGTATGGTTTCGAAAAATCGACAATGATTGAACAATTGGACATGCCACTCACTGGTGACCGATTATTCTGAAAATAGTGTAACAAGTATAATGGATTTTTCAGCGAAAATGTCAAATTAAAATCTCAACCCATAGAGAGCTTTATGCAAAATCCAGTGGCGCACAAAAGTTTTTTTTTTTCGGGGTGTGGTTTTCAAGATACGACTCATACTTTTGATTTTTTAAATTGAACACCCTGTATTTTACAAGCTCATTAAATTCCTTATTTTTTTCCTTCGAAATGATATATGATGTATGAATATAACATTTTCAAAAATGTTCAAAAATCACTAAAACATTGAATTTTAATAGTGGGCTATGGTTTTTTCGAGGGATTTTTATATAAAGAAATAGATACCTGATATCCACAAATACAGTTCTCAACACACCAAATGGACCACTCATAATTTGACTCTATTTCGAAGACCTGAATTTTTTGAAAAAATTGACCGATCTTCATGCGGTTTTCGATATCAGATGTGATGTTTCATCGGCTTCAAAGAGAGCTAGAACAATCCGAAAAAGTCCGCAAAACAAAACTCACACAGGGTGTAAAGTGGAACCATTACACTATGGTCTACATTTCCAATGCTGCCAGAACTCGAGAAATTTTTTTCTGATCAAAAGTCAGCCATATTATGATACACTGGGACCTCATCTCGGGACGTTTTCGTGATTTCTCCTTAATTGGCCATTGGAACAAAAATTCGATTTTTTTTCGAAAGTCTTGCATTTCTTGATTTTTTTCTCTAGAACTCCACTTGAGATGACTATTGGGAAGAACTGTTCTCATGTTTTATGGAGGATAATGAAAGACGAAAAAAGCACTTTTTTGGATTATACAGGATGATAAGAAACTAGGACAAAATCTCATTTCAGTGAAAAAAATCAAAAATGGTGACTAAAACTATGGCCCATTCGATCCAGTATATTTAGAAACGGCCTTCTCGATATCCATTATTTATATTAGACCATTAACTCGAGACGTTTTCGAAAATTCGCCTCTAAATGAAATACAGGATGAAAATTTCCAATTCAAACTTGTTTCCTGATATTGATGGTTTCCAATATTTATTGCCCAAGTATGAGACACAGAGTATTATTGTTCAATGTACTGAGTGTTCTACAACTTATCTGACAAATTTCAACCACAACTACGATATTACATAAGAAGTCTATCACAAAAAAAAATTATAGAAGTAAAACGAGATGAAAAATAAAATTTGTAACACTTTATATCCACTAAAACAATTCTAAAAGGGCTCTATTGGCGAAATATGACATTATTGAATTCTTCAGCATTATGAAGATCCAACTAGAAAGTCCTATATCCTAAATTTCAGTACTTGGTAGGCCTCCCCGATTCAACAAAACCTCATGAAATCGGTTTGGCATAGATTTTATGAGGTTGTTGATGAAGTCTATTGATATTGCCGCCCATTCTGGATAAGGTTGTCATTATTTTGGGGTGCCTCGCCTTCTCGATAGGTCAAGTTTCATTCGGCTCCACACATGTTCAATCAAATTCAGATCTGGAGATAATGCTGGTCACCACATTCTTCTAACATTATTGTTTTCTAGAGTTCGTAATTTGTCAGATAAGTTGTGGAACACTCAATATATTGAACAACAATGCTCTGTGTCTCATACTTGGGCAATTAATATTGGAAATCCGTTGATAAAATGATGAGAATCATCGATATCAGGAAACAAGTTTGAATTGAAAATTTTCACCCTGTATTGTCCTATTTTCTTATCACCCTTTTCGAATAGTTTTAGTTGATATAAAGTGTTACAAATTTTATTTTCCATCGCGTTTCACTTCTATTAAATTTTTTTGTGATAGACTTCTCATGTAATATCGTAGTTGTAAAACACTCAGTATATTGAACAACAATTCTCTGTTTCTCATACTTGAGCAATAGATATTGAAAATCATCGATATCAGGAAACAAGTTTGAATTGAAAAATTTCATCCTGTATTTCACTTAGAGGCGAATTTTCGAAAACATCTCGAGTTAGTAGTCTAATATAAATGATGGATATCGAGAAGGCCGTTTCTGAATATACTGGATCGAATGGGCCATAGTTTTAGTCACCATTTTTGATTTTTTTCACTGAAATGAGATTTTGTCCTAGTTTCTTATCATCCTGTATAATCCAAAAAAGTGCTTTTTTCGTCTTTCATTATCCTCCATAAAACATGAGAACAGTTCTCTCCAATAGTCAGCTCAAGTGGAGTTCTAGAGGAAAAAATCAAGAAATGCAACACTTTCGAAAAAAAATCGAATTTTTGTTCCAATGGCCAATTAAGGAGAAATCACGAAAACGTCCCGAGATGAGGTCCCAGTGTATTATAATATGACTGACTTTTGATCAGAAAAAAAATTCTCGAGTTCTGGCAGCATTGGAAATGTAGACCATAGTGTAATGGTTCCACTTTACACCCTGTGTGTTTTGTTTTGCGGACTTTTTCAGATTGTTCTAGCTCTCTTTGAAGTCGATGAAACATCACATCTGATATCGAAAACCGCATGAAGATCGGTCAATTTTTTAAAAAAATACAGGTCTTCGATAGAGTCAAATTATGAGTGGTCCATTTGGTGTGTTGAGAACTGTATATAGTATTAAAAAGTTTATAATGTATAATAAGCACCTGATTGAATATGTACTAAAACAATTGAATTCCGAAATTATTCAGTGATTTATTCATTGAATTGTTCAAATTGATGTCCATTTTCCATCACAAACTTTCTCAATACATATTAATCATTGAAAGATGTCTTTGTAATTCCTGAAAAACTGCCTCTGTTGTTGCACAAAGTTCTTCAAGTATGTTGGGCCACTCACTGTATTAAGAAGTATTAAGAAAGTTTGTCAACTGTATGTTAGAGAAAATGGATATCAATTTGAACATGTCAATGAATAAGTTACTGAATGATTCCGGAATTCAATTGTTCTAGTTAATATTTAATCAGGTGCTTATTCTACATTATAAACTTTTTATTACTATTTATTTGTCGCTATCAGGTACCCAAGTTTAGTGTTTTGTTAATTAATAAGTGTTGATATTGGTTTTGACCTCTCCATGGAAAAATTTGAAGAAATATTTCTTCAATTGAAACGTTTTTTATAAGAAAAATCCATAACCAACTATCAAAATTCAATATTTTAGTGATTTTGAGCAATTTTGAAAATTTTATATTCATTCGTTATATATCATTTTGAAGACGAAAAAAATAAGGAATTTAAGGAGCTTATGAAATACAGGGTGTTCCATTTAAAAAATCATAAGTTTGAGTCGTATCTCCAAAACCATACCCCGAAAAAAAATTTAAGTGCGCCACTGGATTATAGGTGAAATTGTCTATGCGATAAGATTTTGATTTGACATTTTTGTTGAGAAACTTCGTGGATATGGAGGGGGTCCAAAAAGTATAAATTTTCAAAATCGCCCTGTATCTCATAAACGGAAACAGTCTTGCAAAATCTGATTAGGCCATCTTGAGTTTCACAAAAAAGTGGCACAGGACCGCGAAAACCGCAAGGTTCTATCTCCAAAGATAACTGAGATAGAGTGATGTTGATTCAAATACTCGTGCAGCGAAGGCTCTGTGAATGAGCGACGGACTCAAATACTTGTTGATTCATATACCCGTGCAGCAAAGGCGCTGTGAATGAGCGACGGTCTCAAATAGCAATGGATTTGAGAGCCCGTGCCGCAGATGCACTGTGAGTGAGCGACTGATTAAAATACTTTTTGATTCAAATACCCGTGCAACGAAGGCACAATGAATGAGCGACGTACTCAAATTCTTATTGATTCAAATACCCGTGCAGCGATAGCTCTGTGAATGAGCGACGGACTAAATTAGCGGTGGATTTGAAAGCTCGTATCGCGGATGCACAGTGAGTGAGCGACGGATTGAAATAGCTGTGGATTCAAATACTCGTGTAGCGGAGGCACTCTGAATGAGCGGATGTACCCAAATAGCGGTGGATTTGAATCACCTTGTCGCGGAAGCACTGTGGGTGAGCGACGAACTCGAATAGCGGCGGATTTGAGCGAAATCACTGTGAATAAGCGACGGTCTCAAATAACAATATATTGGAATGTACGTGTCGCAAAGGTCCTGTGAGTGGTCGGCATACTGAAATATAGGGCAAGAGGAAATCTCAAGAAATCAGGGAGATGTATAATCCTTGGTCAGTTCAATCATTGTCGATATGTTGAGGGGGTCCATTTTGAGAAGTGATAAAATACAGTGCGACGCCTGATTTCATGCAACTTCTTTAAATAATCTGAGTATGTACAAGGATATTCGACGGAAGCAATATTATGGAATTCAATGGAACTTACCGCACCAGCACTTTTAGGGGATTTCGAGGCAGCGACATAGGCCAAATACTGAATAACTTTTTTCGTGTTTTCGGTTTTACCTGCACCAGATTCACCAGTGCAAAGGATAGACTGATCTTCTCGCTCTAAAAACAAACAGTGTTTTTGAATATTCTGTTTCTCGAGTCACAAAATTGCATTTTTGTGTTAGTAGTTCAATCAATTTCTTAGATCTACAGAGATGTATTCTTTAGTGTAAATTGATCCTAGTATTTTGTGCAGTTAACAATTCACTGATAAAGAAGTTCCTATCAACATAATGTCAAAAAACGGTTATATTTAATATAAAGCGAGTTTCAAATTGTTATCTAATTAACTAGTAGAAATTCCAAGAAAAGTTCATGTAAACTTGGATGTTTTAGAGCTTCGTTTTCGAGAAGCAACGTGTTGACGTTTTTTGAATGAAAAAAATAGTTATTATATAAGGGAAAACAGTAGTAGATTTTAAGGAGAGAGACTTTTCCGTGTATAATACACTATTTTTTCTGTGACAAGAAAAAGGACGAATCAATATTGAGAAGATATTATATTGAAATCAGAAAATTATCTACGTGAAATTTGAAGTTTTCAACAGGAATTACACCTGCGTTGCAGGCATCTTTTTGCAGGCATCTTTATCATTCTTTTGCAGTAGTCAAATATCTAATCTTTCTTATTGTGATTCGATTTTAAAAAATTGAGAACTGGAAGTGGAAGTGAAAAGAAATTGGTTAAAAACTATAGATTTTATAAGGGTGCTCCGGTCTTAAGTGGGTCACACTGTATATGTGATATATCCGGGAAAAAAGTACTCACTTTTTTCCCACGGGAACAAAATTATTTATGAAAAGTGACATTTTATAACCTGCCAACAGAGATGAAATGCCAAACTTTTTTCCCTTCACAGAAAAATTGATATTTACGATACGAGATGGTATTATTAATAAATTATTAATAATATCATACATTCCCGGCATATCTGAAAAAATAAAACGTGTTGGTGATAAATTTCAAGTGAAAACTGTGTTCAAAACTGAAAATACAATGAGATCAATTCTAACTCAAACAAAGCCGAAAAATGAAGAATAATCGTCAAAAAATTGTATTTACAGTATACCTTGTGTTTGTGGAAAGTTTTATACAGGTGAAACCAAGAGACCTCTTTCAGTAAGGACGAAGGAACATAAGTACAATATAAAAAAAAGAAACATCGATAAATCGAAACTAGCTGAACATATCCTTACTGAAGACGGACAACATATGGCAGAGTGGAATAATATTAAAATCATTGGAAAAGAAGATAACAACCAGTATTGCATTCTTCTGAACGGAGACAATAGCATTGCTTCTTGTTCAGTTGATATAGACAGAACATGGTATTCACTACTAAATTCTGAACATGAAAATGGTAAATTCAAGATTGTAGCGAAACACCCTCCGTTGCCATCTTTTTAATATGTCGTGTCGTGTAAAAATGATTCGCCCAGTATAGGGTTTTATTTATCAGTCGTACCTTGTAGTATCATCTTCGTTTGCGAAGCGTAGTGCGATAAAAATTAGCTGCCTCCGCCGCGCGGATGGGTTTTTGCGCTGTGTTTTGCTAGTTTATTTATTCGGACGTTAAATACCCACTTTTTTTCGGTTTTCATTGGATATCAAGGCTTTTACCATCAAGACTCCAAAGAGAAAAGTAATCGGCTTTGTATTATGCCTAACTGATTTTTCAGCCAAAATAATTGCAAGCTAAATTGAAAGTGCCCTTGGTTTGAAGAAGGATTCTTTTCGTTGGAAAGATATCCTTTGTGCCTGCATTGTCTTTTAGGTAGGTGAAGCATTTCTTTAGACGATATTTTATTATTTTGTCTCAAATGACCTGTGCAGTTTTTTCTGTATGTGTATATGTATTCTGTTTTATACCTACAGGGCGCTAAAGATTTGGTATTTGTGTTAACGTATTTTCTTGTTGAGCTTTAATTCTGATTTTATACAAGTTAGGCTATATCTTCATTTTGCATTGTCTTTTAGCTCAAAAATTATATCTCAACATCACGAAACTAACGCCGTGTGGCCGGCAGGAACCAATAAAACGGACTATCCTAATCTGGTGTTTTTCTGACTTCTGAGACCACCACGCCCCGATTTCCCCTGAATTGAAGAGTCTCGTTACATCTTGGCGCCCAACGTGGGGCCAGAGATTTTCACTAGTCTGGATAGAACACACATTTTTACTATGGTTCTACAGAACACGCCACAGATGAACTATAACCTAAGAAATCGAAGGGAGGATAGTACACTCAGAGGACACCAGGGAAACCTTACCCAGTCAATGTTAGCAGACACCGTAAGCTTGACAGGGATTGTTCAAGGTAACCAATCTTTAAATCAACCCCCTTCAGAGCCCCAAAATCTCACGCATGTTTCACCTGAGGAGGCGCAACTTCAAGATGAGGCAGCAGCCTCAATACCAGCTCCAGTTACGGTGCAGTCAAGTACATATCATAATAGTTCAGGGTTTTTTGCCACAAATAACATACCTCTCACATCACCTAGACAAACAATTTCAATTTGCCAGGCAGATTTATCAAAACTCATTTCTGATGAAGTGTCAAAAGCTTTCAAACATTTAACATTGAGTAATTCGAGGCAAAATAATAGTTTTCCACATTTACCAAACCATGGTTTACCTATGCCTTTCCCACAAAATCAGAATAATTTCCCACAAAATCAGAATAATTTGCCACAAAATCTCAGTACTTTTTCACAAAACCAAGGAAATGTTTCACAAAATTATTCCAATTTTCCTTTGCCTTCAAACCAAAGTATGCCTTCTTGGAGTTCAGTAAATAACAATAGTAATACAAATAGAGTGCGTTTTGACCCAAATCTGCCTAGCTTAGTTAGTTACGATATAAATAGTACTTTAGGTTTAGGAAGTTGCAGGGATTTGAAAAGTGTACAGTCCTTACCTACCTTTGAAGACAATGATTCGTTGCACCCCCTTGATTTCTTAAATTATCTGGAGACATTTATTGACCTACATTCTATCAATATGAATCAGTTTGCTCTGATCACTAGTTGCCTTTTTAAAAAATCAGCTAAGACATGGTTCGATGCTTTTATATATACTTTTCGAAATTACGCTGATTTCAAAAAAGCCTTTATAGAACAATTTTGGAGTCAAAATAAACAAAACCGAATAAAATTGGAATTGGAAATTTCTAGATACTCAGAAAGCTCAGGTTCCTTCGCGACCTATTTTCATAAATATGTTGCTGCATCTAGGCACTTGCAACCCCCTTACTCGAGTGAGCAGTTGATTTCGACAATTGCACGCCACTTTCCCCCACACATTTCATGTGTGCTAGTCGGTACGACTGACTTGTCGGTAGCTGCAGAGCGCTTGAGGCAAGCAGATAGTTATTTTAATCAGAATAAAGGAAATTCATTGAGAACATTTGCTGATACAAATCATACAAAAGAATTTGGGCACGATAAACAACGGCCTTTCCAACAATACAAACAAAATTATGCTAATAAAAACGATAATAGAAATAATTATCAAAATAAAAATATAAACATGATGAGTACTATCGAAACCGAAACTAAGGTATCGGAAAACGAGGAAGACCTCCAGGCTTAGGCTCAAGCATGGAGGCAAATCTTTTGAACAGAGCCACCCCTTCACTTCTTATCGGTAACAACCCCGTTGAAGAATTATTGGCTGAGGATTGTGATTTCGTTCACGAAGCTGACGTAGTTCGTTCTCCGGTGATAGTAATAAAATTGAACGGTTATAAGTTCCCTGTCCTCATAGACAGTGGTTCAACAATTTCAGCTATCTCAGAGGATGTCTGGACCCAGATTTCTGACGAAAAGTATGAAGCCCCATTTTTTCCATGCACAGGCATCAGAGTTGTGGGTGCTTTCCGAACAAAATTCAAAAAGGTAAAAGCGCAGCTGCTACTCACATTTCTTATAAATCAAAAAGAATTTTCACAAGAATTTCTTATGATTCCTGACCTCTCGTTCCCGATAATTTTAGGGGTTGATTTTCTGAGAGCACATCAAGGAGTGATAGACCTGGCGCATCGCAAGGTTACCTTGAGCCTTGACGAAGAAAAAATAACAGTGATGGAAAAAAACTATATACATGATTTAGAAAATCCAGCTCCAATTCACGTTTCGGCCATTATAAATAAAACATACAGTATGTCGGGATCAAACGAGCCTGATAATAAAGTTTTCGAAACGTCTGGTCTAAATATTTCTGAAATAGTTGCCCAAACCACAACATTATCTACAGATGAAAATGAACTGTTCACGACCTTGATAAAAAAATATAAGGCGGTTTTTTCCAACGTTCCAGGGCGTACTTTTTTATATAAACATAATATTATTTTGAAAAACAAAGAGGAATTCTTCATAAAACCATACCCCATTCCAGTGGCGCACCGGGATGCTGTGTACAGGGCCATTCTTCAAATGGAAAAATGGGGCGTAATCGAACGCGCTTCTACCCCGTATATTTCCCCGCTCATGACCACGGTAAAAAAATCGAAAGATATTAGAATTTGTCTTGACGCCAGGCACCTGAATTCAGTGATGCAATCGGATAGGGAATTGCCGCTGAAAATAGAAGATATTGTTCGTTCCTTACATGGTAAAAAGTTTCTTTCAAAAATTGACCTTACCCAAAGTTATTGGCAGATTCCTATAAAACAAGAAGACAGAAAGTATACTGGATTTTTAGTTGGGACTCGAACTTATCAATGGTGTGTTTTGCCCTATGGTCTCTCCACAGCGGTGTCTTCGTTTTCTCGGGCGATGAGCACGATATTTGGGGATGATTATGCAGAATTTCTGTTAACCTATATCGACGACTTGTTAGTGATGTCAGCCACCTTCCTTGAACACCTAGAACATCTTGAAAAAGTTTTTCGTAGACTCCAGGAAGCCGGCTTCACGGTAAAAGGTTCGAAGTGTCGTTTTTTTCAGAACGAAATGTCTTTTCTTGGGTACCTCATTTCGCCAATGGGAATACGTCCGGATCCTGAAAGAGTGCAAGCAGTTGCTGACTACAAGCCTCCTAAAAATATTAAGCAGGTCA